AGACGAGAGCATACCGCGTCTCTCAGGGATTGACCAATGCCGCAGAGCTTAAAACTTAATTTGGAAATCTGCCTGTTTATGAAGATAGTTTCTTTGCGGTAGAGAGTAATGTCTTTATAATTCCAATGTCCAATATAGTCTTAATTGTGTTGTTGCCACTCGTTCTGGTGTCTGCTGATAGTAAAGTTCTTGCATAAGTGGTTGAATAGTCAACCGAGCTGGACTGGTATCTCATAGCTTAAGACGTCTTGTCAGTGCTCTTGCCACAGACGACACCATGTGCTTAATAAATTCTGAAATGTCTATTTTGGAAATAGGACCGGTAGCTGATCGGAACTATAATCTTCGTTCAGTCTGGTCCACCTGGCTGGTCTTTTCTTGTGAGACTTTCGCTGAACAGTTGATGGGGACATAGGGCTCTGCAGTAGACATGTGGACAATGATTCAATCCTATGCTCACGGCTCGCCATGCCATCCATCCCTCCCCAAGGTCGGCGAATTGGTTAGCGAACTTGCTTGGGAGAATAGAAACACTGACGTGATACATCGTTCGCCACCGCGAGTCATTGTAAAGCTCAGATATGCATTCAATCACCTCAGGTGATGCATGCCTGATGAAGTCGTATGCATAGCGCATCGCTCAGGGGATTGATCCGCTGAGAGGTTCATCTTTTATCCATTTATTCTACTATCTCTTCGTATAGTCAATACTTCTGACCGATATGTAACTATAAAAATCGAGATTAATGTCAAGAGTACTGTAGATTGACAGGTAACACCATGAAGCATCTTGAGGCACGTCATGAGTTTGATCTCTATGGATTTTCCTCTGATTTCAAAAACTTTTTTTCAGAAATGCCCTGTTATTTTCTTCTGCCGAAATAATGGTTATGCCATAAGTACAACCGACTTCGGAGCAGTATGGCGGTGATGGTATTGCTGGAAAGGGACCCGGCTATGGATTACATACGATTCGGTTCGTGTTCTTTGCGTCTTAGTGTGATTCTTTGCCATTTTAGAGAACACATTTGACAGTGTAGTTTTAAGTGTTGACGGAAATGATGTGTTTGCCGTCTATATGCTACAAAAGCGGCTCGAAAGCTTGCAATCGAAAATAAGCCAGTTCTTATCGAGGCGATGACTTATAGACTCGGTCATCACTCTACCAGTGACGATTCGTCTGTATACCGGTATGTTTGAATTAGTTCCATTTCTTCCATAATTAGAGGGTCAAAATTCTCTATTAAAATTTGGTAATTCTGTAGTAATATCCCGTTAATCCTATACTTACATTATATATTATCTACTCAAGTTTATAATAAGAACTCAATTTACATAGGATCTTGTAAAATATGGTACAGGTATTGTGATGTTTGGTGCCAATAGTTAGTGGTACCATGCGACGACATGTGGCCGGACAGTCCGATTCCGCACCCAAGGTTCATCAAGCCTTCCACCTCTCTAGAGTCGGCAAATTGGGATCAGGCTTGTTAGGAGGATAACAGCAGTGACTTGATACATCAGTAGGCTACGGCGAGTAAAGACCAAATCTGCATTCAGTCGCCTCTGACGATGCTTGATAAAGTCGAACGCATAGCGCATCCCTAAGGAACTGATCAACGTCGAAAGCTCTATTGTACTGCTGCTACTAACTGCTTACTTTCTAGTCGAGAATTGAGATATGGAATTGTTCTCAACTCATTGTTCTCTAGCTTTTTTAGCTTTTGAAGCTTTTAGCTTATAGCTTTTCGAAAAAAAAATAGCTTTTTTGGAGCGTTGATCAAGGCTGTAACTAATTTGATAAGTTTTCGCTTAGCAAACAAAGGTAGGCCTGTTCTCATTCGTTTGCTTCGTTAGACTAATTTCAGTGCAGGAAAAAAGTCCCTTTTCCAAGCGTTATCGTCCAAATGACGTATGGCCTTGTGAAGGCCATTCTCTTCTTACTGAAATTTGACAGACTAATCAAATGAAGTCTTTGATTTTTCTTTTGTGAATTTATCCATATAAAGGTTGTCAGAAGAGGTGAAAGAATGGGGTGACAAGAGTCATCCAATCACTCGTTTCAAAACATATATCACTACAAAGGGCTGGTGGAACGATGAGGATGAGAAAAAGTGGCAAGAAGAGGTAATTGATGTTGCTTTTCAGCCTTCTGTTAATTCTGTACAACCCATTTTAGTGTCGCAAGCGTGTATTGAAGGCGTTCAACAGTGCTGAAAAAGAAAAATGGGCTCATTATCATGATATGTTTGAAGACGTATACAAGTAGGTTTGAAGCCGTATTCAGTGTCGTTCTGTACATTTACAAATGGTGAGGGATATGTTAAACTCCCCACCTCAGGCGGAAGTTGAAGCCGCGTTCCACCATGCTGGGGCGCGTTCTACCACTACATCACCGAGGCCACCCCGGTGTTACCTCTTTTGTTGATATAAACTTTTGAACCTGTCAGCAACTAACCTTTGAGGGTTTTATTCTGGTGAGCAAATGGGCTCAATTGGTTCGATGCCTGTATCCGCTTATCAAACTATAACCCCTTAAGATTTGCTTTCTGACAGCTTTATTAGTTCATATAGAAGAGAGAATGATACCTAAGCGGTGTCCTCGGTGTGTAGCACGCCCCTGGTAAGGATAAAACGCGGTTCAACTTCTGCTTGGAGCCGGAAGTTGTGCGTACAATTCAACATTTCTAGAAGTGTAATTATTACACGTCATAGCACTATTAACTATAGTAAGAGACAGAAGTCGGTTCTTTTCGGTTATAAGGGAACAAATGAATATTCGACCCCACTCGCTGTACAAGAATTTTTGATGGGAGTGTTTTTTATCATTCGAAAGCTTGAATCTCTGACTAGAGCCGCACTTAGCCGGTTTTTCAAAAAGAACCTCTATAACGCTGTAAAATACAAAATAAAATTGTGTCCTACATTGGCCGCGCAACTGTTACTTTCGCAATTCCTAGTTGAGTAACAAGAATCTTACTTTTCTATGACCCGCCGATGGGCCAATGGAACGACCGGACTGTTGAAACAACCACATCCATCGTACGCACCCCGTAAAAAAGCCAAAATCGCCTTTACCGCGTATACGAATTTGATTGAAACCTTTGAATCCTACGCTGTCGAATGATTACTAGCAGTCTAAAAAATGGCTAATCCATTTGATCGGCTGTTTCTAAAACCTCGTTATAAACATTGAAAATCAAATCCAAAAAAATAACATTCTTTTTTTGGATTTGATTTTGAATGTTTATAACGAGGTTTTAGAAACAGTCGATTAAATGGATTAGTTTTGGTCTACCAGCCGAAACATCGACTGATGGTGATGGACCAGTGTCATTGTACACTATGCCATCACCTTTTACCACATACGCCTCCCTCCTTGCTACAATGCAGGGCTTAATGTGGGGCGGGGGTCACTGACGAGGAGGACGAGCCTTCGAAACACCGGTGTATGGCCCTGGCGTACCAACCTCGTTTTTAGGCTAAAAACATTCTTTTTTTTTTTGGATTTGATTTTAAAAAAGAGCTCTGTCCGATGAGAAACCTTAAAGCATCAAGAAGAAGGAGAAGTGTATAATTCACATATTCACTGTTATAACTTTTGCTTGATGTCTGTTCTTCTCCATGATTGGGTACATTATGAAATAGAACCACAGGAATGCTGAGATACAAGCAAAGTTTGGAACTTTAATTTGCTCTAGAACCTACGATTAACATTTCTTGAGGCTTGCGTGTTATCCACAACACCACCGAGGCTTGTGATGTTCCGAGTATCGCTTGTATCTCAACATTCTTGTGATCGTATCCGCATCCACAGTGTTATAGGTCTTTGTGTAATGAGGTTTTGTGAGACATACAGGCGTCTTAAACACGATTCTTTTCAGAGAAATGACCAATCGTATCAAACACCAGCGAGATGAATTGGACGTTCATATTGAAGAATATAAGGAACACTATCCACTCGACAAATGTCTATCCAAAAGTTCTTCGTCGTAAACCCTCTTATCTACTCTACCTTAACTTTTTTTGCTCATGATTTTCTATGTACATTCCACTTTGTAGGTGCCCTAACTCAACATTCTGATACTTTATATCTTATTGTAAAGTTGCCTAGCTTCATCAGCAGTCTATTTTTCTATGATTTGGAGAATGTCTCTTCCAAAATGTCTTTCTTTACTGATCGAGAAATGTTCTATTTGATTACAATGAAGATCGGGTAGTTTATTGTGGATATATCTCATTCAATAGTGATCTGAATACATAGTTTATCTTGGGTGTATCACTTATAATACTTAAAAGAAGATATTTGATTTGGGGATTTCGTCAGTATACGGTGGATTTTTCCAAGTATGTCGAATGATTTATAAAACTACGACCCTCGGCCAAGAGTTGAAGCCGTGTCGCATCCATACGTGGGGCACGTGCTACCAATACACCATCGAGGCGGCCGTTATGCTACCGCTTTTCTTTGATGAGCGGTAAAATAGCATGCCTGATGATCATTTTTTGAGCCACGCATGTCAGTGATCTATCAGAGGGCTAACTTATAGCCCGACTGACGAGATCGCAAGATCGAAATACGTGTATCGGGGTCTTTGAAGTCAGCCTCCTTGATAGACCACTGACATGCGTGGCTCAAAAAATGATTATCAGGCATACACGTTGGCTATTATATCTAATTTCTCGGTGACTAACCATGAAACGTCTGATTTTCTGTCGACGCTCTACGATACCTGTGAAAGTTACATCGACCACAGTGTCCTGCCATTTAGAAGCTGCTCCCGATCTCTGCTATATGACGGTGTCTATCTCTCTGTTATACAGGATCTTCTGCGTTTTCCTGTCCTTGGAATGGTTCTCGTTCTACACATCCCGCCGCTTTTTGTTACCCATAGAACCCATTGTGCGTAAAGAATATAGGCTCCGACGATTTTACGGGCAGAGATCCTACGATAACGGAGTTTCTTTGAACCAACTTACAGAACGTGGCATCAAAAGATCACATTGGCCCGGAATCGAACCTGAGTCGTGTGCGTGGCAGGCGAGCATTCTACCATTGAACCACCAATACTTGGAAGGATATCAAGCGTATGATCGCACGCAATATCTAAAACATTGCATTGGCCGGGAATCAAACCCGGGTCGTCCGCGTGGCAGCCAAGCATTCTACCACTGAACCACCAATGCTTGGGAAGTACATCAAACGTGTCACGGAAGTTGATAAGTAGCAATTACCGGATCTAAACCGTTGCATTGGGCGGGAATCGAACCAGGGTCACTCGCGTGGCAGGCGAGCATTCCACCACTGAACCACCTATGCCTGGGAAGGGACATCATAAGTCTCATGGAAGTCGAGGATTAAAAATTCACCTGTATCACCTGTCGTCCCGTTGATCGTCGAGTGACTCGAGCGGGTACCAGCAACTCTTCCATTTTTCCCTATCGCGTGCAAGAGTAGCCCAGTGGGTCCTCCTCGCTCTAAGAATTCGCTGAGCATTATATCTTTCTTCCATCGCTTTCGTGAAGAAATCGGACCAACGGGTCAGTGGTCTTCCTTTAGAGCGCTTGACGTCCCGAGGAATCCAGTCGGTAACGGCTCTCGTCCATCGGTTGTCGTTGAAGCGCATCACGTGTCCGGCCTCACCTTATTTTCGATATCCTGACGTGTAGAACGGCGTCTCTGATTTTCGATCGTTGACGTAGGTCGGAAATTCGGATCCTTTCTCTCATTTGCGACATGCGGGATACTCCTAGCATCGACCTTTCGACTGCGCGTTCGATAACGGCAAGTGATCAAACGTCTCACGGAAGTTGAGAAGTAGGAATTACTGGATCTAAAACGTTGCATTGGGCGGGAATCGAGCCAGGGTCACTCGCGTGGCAGGCGAGCATTCTACCACTGAACCACCAATACTTGGGAAGGATACCAAGCGTCTCACGGAAGTTGATAAGTAGGAATTACCGGATCTAAAACGTTGCATTGGGCGAGAATCGAACCAGGGTCACTCGCGTGGTAGGCGAGCATTCCACCACTGAACCACCTATGCCTTGAAGGAGATCATAAGTCTCAAGGTAGTCGAGAATTAGAAATGACCGCACGCAATATTTAAAAGATTGCATTGGCCGGGAATCGAACCCGGGTCGCCCGCGTGGCAGGCGAGCATTCTACCACTGAACCACCAATGCTTGATGGTTGTCACGAATGGATTCATTGATGTTGAGGAAGTCAACTCACCATCTCTTTCACCTATGGTCAGTGGATCTTCGAGTGACTCGAGCTGGCACCAGTAAAGCTCCTATTTTTCCATATGGCTTCGAGGCATAGCCCAGTGAGCACTTGCTGGATGTAGGGCTTCGTTGAGCATCGTAGCCTTCTTCGCGGTTTCCGAGAAGAATTCGGATCATCGCGTTTGCAGTATGTCTACCGTGTGGTCTCGAAAACCTCTATTTTCTATACATAACCAAAGATCAGCAACTGAGAGTCAGAAAACCTCCATTTGCCATTGTTAGACGCAACACGTCGGAGTTAGAGACGCAGAGGGCTCGGTCCATGGTCCCGAAAGCGCTAAGCCCTTTCCAGCAATTAGATGACTTCATAACTAGGTATCGACGAAAGCTAAGTGATGCGCAAAAAACGTTAAATCACCGGGTGGAGTTGAACACGTGTCTCATCCCTTTCGTGAGCGCGTGCAAACCACTATGCTACCGAGGCTCCTGTTCTGCTATCAGTCCTTGGTTGTCATTTTTTGTATCTCATGCGAAGAAACCATAGGAGGCCTCTAACAGTAATGGATAGCGTTGAGGTATGATAGAGGATAAGCGGATAGAGCTCTCGGGATCGATCCCTGAGGGACGCACCATGCGTTCGACTCCATTCGTAGCATCGTAGAGGTGATTGAATGCATATTTCTGGCCTTCAAACTGACTCGGTGTGGCTAACAGACGTATCAACTCAGTGCTGCTGTCCTCCCAGACAAGCGTGGAGCCAGTTCGCCCGCCTTGGACTTGGCAGGCCATGGGGTGGAACTGAACCACCGACCTCGTGGGCGTCGCAGAGCTCCCCTAACCATTATACCACACGCGCCCATATAATACTGGTTCTACTTGGTTTAGAACATTTGCACTGAGAAAGCCTGGATTACCTCACAAACGCATGGACGACAAAAGTTGTCCATAGTGTGTTTGCACCAACTGTTTGGTAATCGTCGGCAGATTAATACCAGGGTTCCATCACTTATTCGGATCTTCAGCGTCTGATCGGTTGGTATTTATGTTTTCATGACTGATTTCTCTGTCTTGGGCCGAAATGATCGCTGATTTGATCTACGGTTGTGACCTCAGGCGGTTCAAATTTATTTGTAGGTTATCAGTGTCGTTTTACTATTTATAGAGGCAAAGCTTAGAATTCTTTTTATTTGATTACCATTTGCAGTGGTATGATGTTATTAGTATACCCAATATGTGGAGTACTGTGCGAAAACTTTTGCCTCAGCCGGATACGAACCCAGATCTCACTCTTTCCGGGAGCGTAGTCTAACCGTTGCACCACCGACGCTCGTTTTGCACAGCACTCTTTTTTTTATTTTTGAAGAGTCAGGTCTGGGTTCGAATCCCGGCTGACGCAAATGTTTTTCCGAAGCTTTGATTTATTTTATTATAGTCCAGTTCTAAGGGAATGATAGTTAACTAATTGACTGCGAAAAGGCAGTAGAAACACCAAAGATTCCGAGTATCGATTATGGACCTTCAAAGCCATTTTCGATTCAAGAATATTCGATCTTATTCGCTGGACAAGGATTTTTCGTAGGAATGGTAGTAGTCATTCGAAAGTTTAAATAGCTGCTTAACGCAGTATGTGGCCGACTCTTGCAAAAGATCCTTTTATATCAGTTGAAGTTCATTGAGTTCATGAGTTGAATTGAGTGAGTTCATTGAATGAGTGGTCGGGCAAATGTGCCTCAGTGGTTTAGTGGTAGATCACGCGTCCTTGGATAGGATGAAACGTGGGTTCGATTCCCGCCTGAGGTCGTGCGTGTTTTTGCTCACCACCCAATTCTCTTAGGGATATAGAACTTCATTTATTTGACCGCCTCTTGCGGTGTTATGGTCTTATAATATACCCAGTAATGTGGGATGCTGTGCAAAAACGTTGCGTCAGCCCGGATCCGAACCCAGATCTCACTCTTTCCAGGAGCGTATGCCAACCGTTGCACCACCGACGCTCGTTTTGTACAGCACTCTTTTTATGCTGCAACGCCTTATCTGTCATAAGCCAACCGTCGACGGTTTGGCGAGGCAGTAGCTATCGCATTGAACCTACGTATGTTGGCAGATATTGCATATCAATAATCTATTGAAGTTCATTTATTTGACCGCCTCTTGTTGTGGTATGGACTTATAATATACCCAATAATGTGGGGCGCCTTTTATAACACTTTGAAACTCAGAATAAAACTATTTTACGCGCGCGTGTATCTCGCCGGACAGACCTTCTTCTTTGGACTATTAGTCATATTCGATAGCGTTAGTTTCACTGATTCTAGCGCTGTGCTTATTTCTGGGAAAGACCGTCTCATTGCCGTGTAGCAGCAAAAATAAGATCGAGTTTCACGTATCGGCGCACTTGTTTACCGGCTAATCCACGGGCTGGGGACGGGGCGATCGATCGATCGATGGCCTGGCGCGTTGAGCGCGTAGGGTGAAAGTTGTGATTCGTCTGGAAAGTCTTTCCCCGCTGTGAAGAATCGGCATATAAAACGAGTGATTCAGATATTATGAGGCTTCTTCCACACGTTCCTATGCTTTTCGTGGCTTCCAGCGAGTTTTACGCATGATAGAAATTAAGGCGCTAGGCCGGTGTGAAACATGATTGGCCTTGGCCATAATCGAATGGCCCTTAGGCCATAGGAAAGTACAATTTTTGTTATTCAATTAGGATTTGCTGCTTGAAACTCCAGATTAACCGTCTGACTCTGCTAGTAAAATATTTCTCTACACGTTCATATGCTCTTCGTGCTTCCTGCGAAGCAATATTCGAATGCGGGGCCAATGTGAAATATAGTTTTATTTTGAATGTAACAGGGTTATGAAAGGGTTTTTTCTGAAAACCGACCATGTGCGGCCCTAGCCGGAGATTCAAGCTTTTGAATGATTGCTAACACTTCTATGAAAAACTCTTGTACAGTGAATGAGGTCGAATATTCAGCAGTTGTTCCCTTATAATCGAAAAGAACCAATTTTTTTTCGAATATATTCCAAGGATCTTCAATAGATCCTTTCATTATTATTTGAGCCAATTTGTCATGTGGTCTGGTAAGGGCTCTTGTACAGCCCGATACACGTGTTTCGTCCTTATAGACTCGTCAGCCGGGCAGTCGTCTTTCGATCTTTTTATAGTCAGTCCTCTCGGGAGCCTTACACTCCTTATAGAGAGTCATCGAAGACGAACGTTTTACACTCTATGTCAAGCGAAATTTTCACCTAACACAGTGTTTGCGCACGCGATTGCTCTTTGGCTGGTACTTTTATCATAATTATACTTTTATTTCGAGTGCTTTATTAAGACCACGTTCAAATTTCAATAGATCCTTTCATTATTATTTGAGCCGAATTGTCATGTGGTCTGGTAAGGGCTCTTGTACAGCGTGGTCTCAATAAAGCACTCGAAATGAAGGTATAATATTCCTATGATCACTGTCATTTCATTCCGTTGCAATGGCTTTCTTGGCTACCACAGCAGAGACGTTTGCTTTAGCTTTTGAAGTTTACACAAAACGGGTATTGATCTTGGCACGACAGGTTTTGGGTATGCGGCGACTGCGTTGTACAGTAGAAAGTTCATTAATCACAAAACATCAACCCAGTTCTGGAATAATTTCGTATTCCCGTCCAAAAGCACCTCGAAGAGTGAAGGTTCAAGCTTGACAAAGCTTTATGCATTCCCATTTACTCAATGAATAACCCGCATGTGCCAGTTTTTTAACCCTTTGAAGATCACCAAGCCTGCGAAATGTAGCATATTACGTCGCGTTTTGCTCAGCTACCGTAACGGCGGCGTTGCCCCTTGGGTTA